ATAATTTGTTTGGATTGCAAAAAAAAAAGGAAAATTTTTGGCATTCGTTTGGCTTTATTTTACATAGAAATTGTCAATTAAATGGATAATTTTTTTTACAATTGGGGATAGAATTTGTTTCTATTGCCAAAAAAAAAGATGGAATTTCAATTCCCACCTAAAATGTGAGAATTTCAATTCAACTAAAACCAAGAAAACTAGCAAATATGATAAACCAATTTCAGGAAAAAAAAGTATCATCAAACATGATAAAAGTAGGAAATTGAATTTCAATTCCAACTTCCATAGAAAATAAGGGATTATCAAACAGGCCCTAATATATATGGTTGGTGACAACTATAATAATTTTGACAATTTAGCATCCTTTTGGGAATAATTTATAAATTCAGACTCCTCCCAAATCCATACTACATCATGTCATGTTATTTTCGAACTTAAACTTACAATTGTCTAAGTAACTAATTGAGAAAAAAAAAAGGTTGTTCTTTTCTTAAACCTTGAACAAAGCACATTAGTTTTAGAATGAGGTTGTCATGGTCCCATTTCCTTATGCGTCAAATTATCATAATTTTTTGTATAAAATGACGCACTCCGCTAAACGGTTGTGGTCATGGCCCCATTTCCTTATGTTATGGTTGTCGACAGTCAGATAGTGTAGTTCTTTTCAATAAATCTATTGATGGCGTACCATCCCTCAATTTTCCTATTATATTTTCCAATAATATTGAGGAAAAAAATGTTCAAAAAATATTGGACAAATAGGTCGCGCTACGTCAAGAAGCTTAATCAACATCCTACAAGCAGTGCGATCAATACCCAATTACAAATCAAGAATGCTAAATATACATTCATTCTCTTACATTAATTTTGACATATCTTTTGTTTTCAAAAAATTGTGAACAGAAAAAGTATAAGATACTGTCTATTCAAAATATAAGATACTGTCTATTTTTTTAAAAAAAAATAATGCTTAAAATAAGTTAGAAACCTCTTACAGATACTCTAAAAAAGTATAATAATAATAGTAGTTAGTGTAGTCGAATCATGATTAAGGGTGACAACTGGCTGGAAAATCATATTAATTTAGTGGCCCCTTACTTATAGGCATTGATTTCCAGCCCTGTTGCTTAGTAATCTAGAATTGACATTGATCTGTGTTTTTGTATAGTTTATTTTAATAAAATCATTTTTTTATATTTAATTGTTTCATAATCAATTTGACAAAAAATAAATAAAAATTATTTGAATGGATATTAAAAAAAAAAATTCTAAGATATAAGAATATTTCCTTGTGGGGATAGATTCATAATTGCCAATGAAAAAGATTGATTACCGAGTGAATCAATTTGAAAACGTATATTTATTTGAAGAAATATAATCCAAGTGAAGCAAGAACGCGATAGAAATAAAACGTATATTTTATTTATAATTATATTAATATCTAATAATTAATAAGGAAGGCAATTATAATTAATTAATATTAACGAGCGGATTAATTGATAAGTATATGAGAATTTCTTTGTCGTAAATTTATGCAGTTTTGGACCCAGGGCATGAATGAAATGCTAATCAGAATCTTGAAATATGACCGTTTTGTATGATGATGGACAAAATCCAAAATCCTTGTAGAACGTTGGAATTTAGGGATGAACATGATGTGTTATGATTTAGTTTCAATCTGAGGAGAATCAAATCATATCAGGTAGCAATAAGAATTTTATTATGTATGTGAATATATATAACGAAGGTCCACGACCGTTTCTTGACAGTGACAAAGCGTTGACACTTACCACGCTTATGCACATAATGAAGAGCATTATTTTATCAAGGTGGGTCAATAGTATAATTGTCTTAGTACCTTTTACATAATTGCATTTCCTCCTACATGGTTGTCACATATGTCCCCGTGGATTTTCCTAAGGATTTAGGTTGTCTCTTATCCTCCACTTCAACGTAGAAGAGGTATTGAGAAACCTTTTTTTTATGGCACCTCGTCTTAGAGTATAAATTCTTAACTCTTCGTATAAACTCGTGGGCCTCTTCCTTATTCTCATGAAGGACTTGGCCATTAAGGAAGGCTATAATTAGCTTTAGTGGTATACAAATGGGCGGACCGATTCGAGCAAGCCCATCAGATATTGAATCGGTATGGCCCAACATTATTAAAGGATCGGCCCGTCAAGATATTGAGATACGTTGCCATGTTCTTCTCCTTGTCATTTACTTGTCTTACCATTAGTTGAGAGTCGATGCTCACAAAAAGCCTTTTTAATTGCACTTCACGGGCTAGCTTGAGCCTCGCAAGAAGCGCTTCATATTCAAGGACGTTGAAGGACTAAGCTTTATTGTATAGTTGAGCTTATGACCTTTCGGACTTACTAAAACAACCCATGTCTAGAGCCTGCCTCTCTCAATGAACCGTCAACAAAGAGGTGCCAAGTTTGGGATTCATCGGATTCCATCGTCACCTCTACTTTAGAG